TGCTGGGGGTGTCTGGTCCCGCGGGTGCAGTGGGACCAAACCAGAGCCGGTCACGGGTGGCACAGGAGGACTGGGGCAGGGGAGAGGGTCCACGGGCTCCAGCTTTGGGGGACACATGGGGTTGGGGGTCCTGCTGCTCCCCGGGGGCTCCTGCCATGCGTACGCCTTGGGGTGACCCCCCTCCCTCCCCTCCCTGCAGCATCGGGGCTGGCAGAGATGGGGGCACACTGGATCCATGGCCCCTCGCCAGGGAACCCTGTCTTCCGCCTGGCCACCCACTATGGCCTGCTGGGCCCGGAGGCTGCCCGGGAGGAGAACCAGCGGGCGGAGGCAGGGGGCCACCCCCCGCTGCCCTCCGTCACCTACAGCAGCTCGGGGAGGGTGCTGAGCCCCCAGGCAGTAAGCAAAGCCCACGACCTCTTCGACACCCTCCTGGCCTCTGCCCGCACTTTTCAGGGGGCCAAGGAGTCGCTGGCACACAGCGTGGGACAGTACCTGCGAGCAGAGATTGCCCAGAGGGTCCCTGCTTCTGGGGCAGGTGAGGACGCCCAGCGGCTCCAGCTGGCCATCCTTGCCGCCTGCCTCAAGCTGGAGTGTTGCATCAGTGGGACCCACAGCATGGACCTGGTGGCCCTGGAGCCCTTCGGGGAGTACGTCTCCCTGCCTGGCCTGGACTGCACCTTCCCAGGGTAAGCACGGGGCTCTGGAGGGGGACGCGGAAGAGCATTTTGGTGGGCACCCCGTCCCCAGCGGCGCCTCCTCCCGCAGCGGCTACAGCAGCTTGCCTGATCACATGCTCTCGGCTCTGCCGGACGGCACTGTCCTGCTCAACAAGGCAGTGAGGACCATCCGGTGGAGAGGGTCCTTCCACGAGGAAGGGGACGAGGCCAGGGATTTCCCTGTCCGGGTGGAGTGTGAGGATGGAGACGCCTTCCTCGCTGACCACATCATCGTCACTGTCCCGCTGGGTGAGGACACCAACACCTTTCCTTGCCCTGCCTGTCCCCTCCAACCAGATGGCGTGGCTGGTGATGGACAGACGGAGGGCAGGGACTTGCCCAAACCCCTTCCCAGCCTCGGCAACCCCGGTGGGAGAGGGGAGGCTGGCCAGGAGTTTGGGGAGGGAAAGGTATCTCAGACCCCATTTAGGAGCCCAGCCAACAGAGCTGCCCGATCTTCTGCCCAATCTTCTGCCCAATCTTCTGCCTGCAGGTTTCCTCAAGGAACGCCACCAGGACTTCTTCCAACCTCCCCTGCCAGAGCAGAAAGCGGAGGCCATTCGCCGCCTGGGTTTCGGCACAAACAACAAGATCTTCCTAGAGTTCGAGCGGCCTTTCTGGGAACCCCAGCAGCAGCTCCTTGAAGTGGTGTGGGAGGACGAGTCACCCCTCGAGGAGCCCAGCACTGACCTGGAGGCCAACTGGTTCAAGAAGCTCATTGGATTTGTGGTCCTCCAACCACCAGAGCAGTACGTGGCTGGGAGCATCAGCAAAGGGGCATCGCGGCCAGGGCAATGGGCATCTTCTGGGCAACCTGAAGGAGCGTCTTGGTCCTGTCTGGAGCTTCAAGTCCTTCTCTGGGTTGCTGGTGGCCCGTGATGCAGTGGCGCTCCTGGGGCAGGGAGGGCATGGTTCCCGGTGATCAGCGGGAGGGCGTCAGGCAGCTCTCGGCCCCATCTTTCCTCCCCAGGCACGGGCATGTCCTCTGCGGCTTCATTGCGGGGAAGGAGTCGGAGTATATGGAGACGCTGAGCGACGCAGAGGTTCTCGGCACCATGACACGTGTCCTCCGCACACTGACAGGTACTGCCACCTTCTCCACCCTCGTCACCCCAACCCCCCCCAGGGAAACATGCACCCAGATTTCTGGATACCACCCAAAATCCACGCCCGCAGGGAACCAGCGCCTGCCTGCTCCCAGGAGCGTGCTCAGGTCCCGGTGGCACAGCGCTCCCTACACTCGGGGCTCCTACAGCTACGTGGCCATCGGCAGCTCAGGGGACGACATCGATGTGCTGGCTCAGCCCCTGCCCGAGGACCCTGAGGACCCCAGGGTAATTGCTTTTAGCCCAGGAGATGCAGCAGCCGTGGGGGAGCAGGAACCCCCAGGCATGGGGACAGACAGACAGGGGTGGGAACAGGACGCCCCAGGCCTTGAGGAGCACAGGGAGGTGGCATTCCCCACTCCCGCTCCATTCAGGGGTCATCGATGCTCAGCTCACCAACCAATCCCCCTTGGCTCTTCCCCCTGAGCTCCATGGGGGTAGGGGGAACCCCATTTCCATGAAATCTGGGGACACATAGCTCCTTCCAACCACTTTCCGGCATCCTCATGGCATAGGGTGGGTCTCTAAGGAAGGGAAGGTGCCCACTCCTTGGTCTCTACGTGGCTGCAGAGTGGGTCATGCATCCGCGGGGTGCCAAAGGGCAGGGAGATGAGGCTGGTTTAGTAGGACCCGGTGTCCCCACTGGGCTGGGGGAGGCAGCAGGCCCCCGGCGCTCACCTCCCACCTTGCCACAGCCTCTGCAGCTCCTCTTCGCCGGCGAGGCCACCCACCGCACCTTCTACTCCACCACCCACGGGGCCCTGCTGTCGGGCTGGCGAGAGGCCGAGCGGCTCAACCAGCTCTTTGAGGCACCCAGCCCCGCTCCTCGGCTCTGAGGCGGGAAAATAAAACCCATGCTTCATGGATCGCTGCCGGTCAGCCTCCTTTATTGAGAAATCTCCCCAGCAGAGGGACGCAGAGGCTTCTCTCTCTCCGGAGGGATGGATGTGGCTCCTCGGCTCGGGTCCGGCGGGGAAATGGGGCTGCGGCGTTAGTACCAGTTGGTGCTGGAGATCAGGAAGCGTCGTCCAGCCAGCGGGGCCTGCGCCGGGCCTGGCTCCGGGG